ATAGTTATGTGTGATTTATGACTATCATAGCAATTATTTTATAAATGTACTGTATGTTTCCAAGCACTTTCTGCATGTCTATGGGGAATACCAGAAGACATGGTTAGTCCTGGCATTTGAAGAATATGTATTTATATTCTGAATTAGCACCAATTATGTTTTTAATGATTTATAAAACAAAGTAAAATGTAGCCTGGCTGTATCTAAGTGGTCAGACATTATTTTTTTATTTCTGTTTCCTGAAAACAACTGTATTTTTTTTTTCTCTCTTCTTCAGGCATTCTACATCCAAGATCAAAGAAACACTGTATTTTTAAATGTTCTGAAAAAGTAGAGACTCATTTTTTAAAATGGCCAGGGCAGCCTTTTAGCTTGCTCCCAGGTCAGCCTAATACCTCTCTATGTAGTTTGTTATTCTGCTTTAAAAAGCACATATTTCCAAATTATATTATTTTGAACAAACCTAGATAAACCTTACCTTGACTTTGAAAGCATGTCAAGGTCAGTAATATTTAATTTAGTACATTGTTCAGTGATGAAATAGAGTTGCAAATTGTTCTTGACGCTTCATGAGATAATGTTAAGTGAATTATTTAGTGTTAAGTGAAGAACCTTGCTAAATTATTTTAAACGACTCAAAGTGGGTTACAGTACTTTAAGATTTAGTTCTTTAAAAATGGCTATATTTTCAGTTTATACTTTAACCTTTTTAGTTTTGAATCATAAGATGTCCTCTTTTAATTAAAACACTTGTGGTTGCCTTTTAAATGCGTAATGGAACAGTTACATTTTTTAAATTCTTTTTTTTTAAGTCAGTGTTTTACTTTATGTAAAAGGTTAAATGCTTTGAGGATAAAAACAACATGACACTGTATGAGTGATGAAATTGGCTTTTAGAATTGTTGAATTAAAATGGAAAGGAAAGTATGCTACATGAACCTCAGTCAGGATGTAGTGGCTACTAATAAATTCAGGTGTAAGAGTGTGACAAGAATAAGCTTCCATTTATAAAGAAGCACTTCACTAAACAAACGAAACCCTGAGGAATTTTCAAATTATGAAGTAATGGGAACAATCATTTAATACAGAAGGAAGGAGCTAGTCCATGCCTCCTTCCTTGAATGTCTCATAAGATCAAATTGTGGAGATGACTGAAACTGGGAATGTGATTTAGTGGCAACATAACAGATTACCATTTAGAGAGGCCAAACCCCTGAGAGCTGATTGCATTAGAGGAGGATGGGGCTAAGATTAGGACACAGCTGTGTTCAGAAACAGCCTGACACTTAGTTGTGTTTCCCACCCAGTCCCCAACCCCAACCACGTTAACATATTTATCTCTCGTGACACTTTGTAAACATTCTTATATCTGTCTTCAATCATTTTTCTCTCTCTAAAGGTTTATCTCTTAGTAGCTTTGACACAGCTTTCCTTGGAGGAATCATTTCCACCTAATCTTTGTGCCTTAACTCTCTCTTTTTTGTTTTCTTAAACAGTGTTAGAATGCATATTCCCAGGTACCGCAAGAAAAAGTTAGCGTTCAGACAAAAAGTTTTCTCAGCAAGGCCATTTTATTTTCTGCAGAAAGGGTGGGTGCTCATGTTAGCCATCTTGCCATGAGAGTACAATGAACAAAGAAAAGGTAGGCATATTTATTCCTTACACATTGGGTTCTTACTGCTGTGTCTGATCTCTGTTGATTAGAGCCAGACCTCACAATCTAAACTAAAACTGATTGGCCAACAACTTAAAACTTTTCTAAATAGGTAAAGGCAATGGAGAACAAAGGAAATGAGGAAGTCCAAATAAGGAAGAGGCATAGGCTGCGAGCCGTGACATGCCTGTGAGCATGTCCTGAACAAATATCTTGGTTAAAGTACAAGGACATAGAATGTACTGTGCCTGTGAACATGTCTAACAGCTACTACATAGGATAGGACTTAACAAAGAGTTATTAGCAAAAAGCAAGAAGTCTTTGAAGAATCTAGTTAGTCTTTAAAGCAAACTATTATTTCTAACATTTATTGTTATTATTCCTTAACAAGAAGTGAAACTTTGAAGAGGAACTTTTTACTTTATACACAGGGTCTCGCTCTGTTGCCCAGGCTAGAGTGCAGTGGCATGATCTTGGTTCACTGCAACCTCAAACCTTTGGGTTCAAATGATTCTCTTGCCTCATCCTCCCAGGTATCTGGGATTACAGGCATGCACCACCATGCCCAGCTAATTTTTTTTGTTAATAGAGACAGGGTTTCACTATGTTGCCCAAGCTGGTCTTGGACTTCTGACCTCAAGTAGTCTGCCTGCCTCCACCTCCCAAAGTGCTGGGATTACAGATGTGAGCCACCATGCCCAGCCCGCGTTATCTCTTACAAGCATGAGCAGTTCTGCTCCAGCTTACCTTCAGAATGCACACCTTGGGATTAATCTTACCAGTATGCAGGCAGTTGTCCTACCATCCCTCCATCACCCTTGTTCATCTTCAGTACTGCAGTTAATTATAGTATTAAATGCTTGTCTTCCAGTAGAGCAGTTCTTTAATGCTGTGTCTCCAGCCTCTAAGAGGCTGGAGAACCTCACTGGTTCCTATTGGATTCATTTTACTTCTCACTGAAATAAATTCTTGAGTAGTTTCTCAATGAGGATCTATAAATAATAAACATAAGCTTTTGTCCAGTTATGCTTATGTTTTACACTTTTCAATTGTAATTCAGCTACATATGTGAGGTGATTTTCTTAAATATACTACATTCTTATATTTTTATATCTTGCTGATGAGGCTAAAAGGTACAGTGATAACTTTTGCATCATTAAAAGAGGAGACACAGCCTCCTCTAGTCCCTGGAGAGCTATGCAGGGACTAGATCCCAAAGAGGCTTAAAGTCATATGAAGGAACTTGTGCTGCACCCCAAGAATAGTAAGAGGCCATTGAAGAGTCGTAAATCTAAATCCATCCTTGCATTGGACATCTCCCTTCTAGACTCTAGCTAGTGATTTCTCAGTCTTAGTAAGAAAATTTTAATCCATGTTCATAGAAACTCTTATGTGGCACATAAAAAAAGAAGTATAATTGTAAGTATTATTTATGGTTACATATTCAGTAAATTTCTGGACACTTCCAGAGAACGTTTTGTACTTTATAAAGTAAATAATCTTACGTATTTAAAGGATAACTTTGGATTTATAAATAACTGGAATAATTTAAATATTTACATTTCCATACAGAAATGAGTATACTGAATTTTGGGATCATGGTAAAAACACAGCCTATGGTATTTTTAGATTTCAAATTGAAAAGGCAATTTCTTAAATCTTCTCAGTAATTTGATGCTATATACCTAAAAATAAGCAGAAGTAAAAAGAGAATTATCTTCATCCAAGGAATTAAATAATAAGAATGTTATAAAAACAAACACCTTTTATACTTAATTCTGCTTTTGAAGAAATTTAAAATGGAAATTATTTTTAGTTTCTATTTTATTGGACCAAAGAAGTTAAAGCCTCATGCAAATACAATAATACGTAATGTTAAACTCGTATTATTTTTAAATAGCCAGCATTTTTGTGGTTTTCAAGTGAACCCTCCAAGAAATTATAGTATTTCTTCTCTTTTTAAGAATGTGTACTTCTTCTGGTTATAAAAGTAATAAATGGTTATTGCAGAACATTGAAAACAAACTTAAAATGCATCAGTTCTGATCTCTTCCTTCCCATCTTTCATGTTAGTTTCACCATTTAAAAAAAAAAAACTGCCTTCTTTTTGTTTTTATTAAAAGCAATTTTCTAACATGGTTTTCAGTTTATTTGCTGTAACCATTGCATCTCACTGGTTCCTATTGGATTCATTTTACTTCTCACTGAAATAAATTCTTGAGTAGTTTCTCAATGAGGATCTATAAATAATAAACATAAGCTTTTGTCCAGTTATGCTTATGTTTTATACTTTTCAATTGTAATTTAGCTACATATGTGAGGCGATTTTCTTAAATATATTGCATTCTTATATTTTTATATCTTGCTGATGAGGCTAAAAGGTACAGTGATAACTTTTGCATCATTAAAAATAGTTGCCTTAGAAAGCTGTACTTTTTCTTCCTTAAAATAGTTTTTTAATTTACTGTGCTAATATATCAAATGAATTAATTTTTTAAATAAGTAAATGGTTATGAGTCATGCTATACTTAATATAAAATATCCTAAGATTGCTACTTAAATATACATGTACTGGTCAACTATTATGTTTTATAATATACTATACATGGTGGCATATATTTCCAAAAGCAGTATTTTGAGTTATATTTTATTTTCTGAGGCATGGTCTCACTCTGTTGCCCAGGCTGGAGTACAGTGGCATAATTAAAGCTCATTGTGACCTCAACCTCCCAAGCTCAAGTGATCCTGCCACCTCCTGTGTAGCTAGAACTACTGGTTAATTTTTTTTCTTAGTTTTTTTATAGAGACAGGATCAATTTAGATGGTGTCCTGCAGTAGTTTTTCTGGAGCAGTCCTAGCCAGTAGAGGTTATGTTCTCTATGTTGTCCAGTAAACTAGCTGCTAGCACTAGACCTTGAGTATTGATATAGTCTCTTTTTATTTACCTTTATCTTTTATCAGCTGAGTAGACATTTTGAATTAATAACTTGATTGATTTTAGACCGTGTAATTTAAGGTGATTTATTTTTACATGGAGATTTTTTCCCCCCAGAAATTCAAGGCTGATTAGTTTCTTGGTTTTAGTGGTTAAGAATTGCTTATACAATAAGGTGATGAAAAGTACATGGTGGCATTATAATGAGTTAGTTTGTATATTTAGCTTGTGTATTTTCTGCATTATAGTCATATATTCAGTGCATTTTCAAAGTATTAAGGTTAGCATATCCTCTGAGGTTACCTTTTTATATATTAGTTGTCATTGAGTAAAAGGAATTACAGAAATAATAACTCTTCATATTTCACCCTGCTGAACAAGAGTGTTAATAATGTGTTATATTTTTTTCAGATTGCAAATAGAAGAGTCTTCCAAACCTGTGAGGCTATCACAACAACTTGACAAAGTTGTAACAACTAATTACAAACCTGTTGCTAATCATCAATACAATGTAAGTCTTCTGCTGTCTCTTTTCATTCTTTTATATTTTTATTCTTTTCTGTATCATGGAGTCTTAGGTTTTCTTTTGGGTTTTGTTTTGTTTTTGTTTTTTGAAATGGAGCGTCACTCTGTCACCTAGGCTGGAGTACAGTGGTGCAATCTCAGCTCACTGCAACTTCCGCCTCCCAGGTTCAAGCGATTCTCCTGTCTCAGCCTCTCAAGTAGCTGGGACAACAGGCACCCGCCACCACATCTGGCTAATTTTTGTATTTTTAGTAGAGACAGGGTTTCACCATATTGGCTAGGCTGGTCTCAAACTCCTAACCTTGTGATTTGCCTGCCTCGGCCTCCCAAAGTGCTGGGATTATAGGCGCAAGGCACCACAGCTGACGGAGTCTTAGGTTTTCAAAGAAACTAAGTGATTATGCACCTTGCCATCAGGAGCTTGAATTACAGTACCTGATCTGAACTTAGTAAGGAATACGACAATTTGCTAAAAGTATACAAAAGATTTTAATCTGCATTCCAAGTTATATAATGGCAAAAAGGAGGCAACCACTGTTCAAACTAACATTGATAAAATTTGTTTTTTGTTTTGTTTTGTTTTTTTCTGAGACAGAGTTTCACTCTGTCACCCAAGCTGGAGTGCAGTGGCATGATCTTGGCTCACTGTAACCTCCACCCCCTGGTTTCAAGCAATTCTCCTGCCTCATCCTCTTGAGTAAGCTAGAATTATAGGTGCTTGCCACCACACCTGGCTAATTTTTTTGTGTTTTTAGCAGAGACGAGGTTTCACCATGTTGACCAGACTGGTCTCCAACTCCTGACTTCAGGTGATCCACCTGCCTCAGCCTCCCAAAGTGCTGGGATTACAGGGGTGAGCCACCACACCTGGCTACCCTTGATAAGTTTTTACAAAGAAACAAAACACTTCAATTCTCAATGTTGCTAATGTTTTAAATTACAATGTACCAAATAAATAGTAATTTTACTATTTTAAAAAATTTTTCTAGGCCAGGCATGGCCTAGAAAGAGAAAGACACCACATTTCTATTTTGAAAGAAAGAGAGAGAGAGAGAGAGACCACATTCACAGATTGTTATTACAGTATATTGTTATGGTTATTCTATTTATTATGGGTTCTTGTTGTTAATCTCTTACTGTGCCTAATTTATAAGTTAAACTTTATCATAGGTATGTATGTATGTTAAAAACCATAATATATAGAGTTTGGTACTATCCACAATTTCAGGCACCAAGTAGGGCAGGGAGGTGTCTTGCAACATATCTCCTGCCAATAAGGGGAAAATATTGTGTATTATATTTTAAGACTTTTTTTATTGTTGTGCATCTTCTGTATACTATATGTATTATACAATATACACATTTATTGAATACATATTATATATACCTTGTGCCAGGTATTGGTCTGAGTGCTTCATAAGTAATGACATTTAATCTTCATACCAACCCTGTGAAGAAACTACAATAGTTGAGGTAACTGAGGCAGAGAGATGAGCTTACCTGAGGTGGCGCATCAAGTAATTGATCAGTCCAGGTGTTGAACTCAGCAGTCTAACTTAGGAGCCATACTGTTAACCACTGTGTATGTTGCTGCTGGACATTAACAGTTGCTAAAAGGGCTAAGGATTTTGGGTATTCAAATATCTGTAATGTAGGCTGGGTGCAGTGGCTCATGCCTGTAATCTCAACACTTTGGGAGGCCGAGGCAGGTGAATCATGAGGTCAGGAGCTCAAGACCAGCCTGGCCAAGATGGTGAAACCCTATCTCTACTAAAAATAAAAAAAAAAAAAAAAAAAAAAATTAGCCAAGCATGGTGGCAGAAGCCTGTAAGCCCAGCTACTCAGGAGGCTAAGGCAGGAGAATCACTTGAACCAGGGCAGCAGAGGTTGCAGTGAGCCGAGATTGAGCCACTGTACTCCAGCCTTGCTGACAGAGTGAGACTCCATCTTTAAAAAAAAAAGAAAAAGAAAAGAAAGTCCGGGCATGGTGGCTCACGCCTGTAATCCCAGCACTTTGGGAGGCCGAGGCAGGCAGATCACCTGAGGTCAGGAGTTCAAGACCAGCCTCACCAACATGGTGAAACCCCATCTCTGCTAAAAATACAAAAACTAGCCGAGCGTGGTGGTGCACACCTGTAATCCCCTCGGGAGGCTGAGCCAGGAGAATCACTTGAACCTGAGAGGTGGAGGTTGCAGTGAGCTGAGATCAGGCCATTGTACTCCAGCCTGGGCAACAGAGTAAGACTCCATCTCATTTAAAAAAAAAAAAAAGGGTGGACTGTTGTGCCACACACCCAGTCAACCATCCATAAACAAGGACTGTAGCCTAAATTCCAAATACCAGAGACTGAAGTTTTCAGCCTTGCTAAGGGAACACCTTGATGTTTGAACCTTTGTGTTTTGTACAGAGCATTCTCTGTACCAGTTTGTTGTGGTTATAAAACAATTAGCGAAATAGCCTACATTTGTATTTATTTTCTATTCCATATTTCTGTGCCACATTGTTTTCTCTCAAAATCCATTCTTTTAAAAAATAAATGTTGCAGATGTGGAAAAAAAAAAAAAAAAGAAATACCTGTAATGTAATAAATGTGATGGTTTCCTGAAAATAAAATACCTAAGTTAAGTCAGATAGCAATTAACAGTTGGAATTTTACATCCCACTTTGCTGTTTAAGATTACCTTTGATACTGAGTTTAGGAAGAATACTCTCTTTAAGACTAGACTAGCCTTAAGTATCAACATTTATTAAGTGACACAGGATAGGATCTACCAAACTAGTACTTTATGATATTTGAATGGTTATTTTATATGAAAGGTAGCAAATGCAAATGCTGGCTAGGCAGACATCTTAAATTAGTGGGACAATGAAATGTAAGAAAGTAAATGTTAGGGACTATGTGAACTGGAGTGCACGTGGCCCTTATAAATACAGTCACATTTTGAAATTATTACACTATGTGGGTTCAACAAACCACGTGAAAGTTCGACTGCATCCAGCCAGACTTCCATTTTACAGCCTCTGGTTATGCTTTAGGGGGGAAATAAACTAAAGAAAAGGACAGGTAAGGGGTCACGTGATCCAAAAGAGGTATTTTTCTGTTGTTTCTGACTTAGACAGATAGATAAAAGTCCATGTCTTTGTCCTCTTCCATTCTAGTCTTTTCTGCTCTTGGATGGGAATACATACAGCTTTCTGGAGCTACATGTAAATAGAGATTCTATTCTATTTTGCAAAACAGTATAGATCTTAGTTGGTTTTGCCTTTCTTCCTCATCAGTGTGCAGCTTTCTGTAACTCCTGACTGAGCTTTTTTCTCCTTTTATGGGCCACACTTCTATGTGGTTTCTACCCTCATGTGTGTTTTTATTACAGTGAGTACAAGAAAGACCACACTTTCATAGGCTGTAAAGAGTTACTACCTTTCTAGAGGGAAGTTTGGTAATTTATGTCAAATGTACTATAAAAGGATATATCCTTTGACCTAGCAGTTTTGTGTCTAGGAATTTATTATAGTGAGACCAGTGCCCAATGATATATATACAATAATGTTTCTTTCTATTGTTTAAGATAGGAAAAGATTGGAAACAAATGTCCCAAATTGGGGATTGATTACTATTTTAAGTCATTATATTCAAATGGTAGGATCTAGAGTGATTTTATCCTAATTTTCTTTTTTATAAAATATTTTCCAATTGTTGGAATTGTCACAGTGAGCACATATTGTCTGAACTTACTGCAGTAAGCAATAAAGTTATTTTGGGAAGGGGAAGATTGGAAGGGGAAGAATAGCTAGCCATGGTAGTACCCCACCACGATTGTCTAAGACTTATGTTCTTTAAACAACAAGTACTTTTTACCTGAGATACATACCCCTGGTGAATAAATGCAAACACATTATATTCTGAACTCCTTAGTATATAAAGCTATAGCATTCTCTATAAAGATAATTAATAGTAAGTGACATTTTAGTTCAAGATATCAACCTTTGTTAAGGTTGCCATAGTGAAAATGAGTCATTATAGTAATGAGTCTTTGATTAAGATTTTGTCTACATACAAAGATTGACTATAATCTACCACACTGTATTTGAATGTTTAATTATTATTTCTTTTGGGAGTAAATCAGGGTGGGCACCTGCATAGCTTTAAAAGGCATATTCAGTATTGTAGTGTAATACCAACTATAGAAAGAGTGTAACATTTTTGTTATTTGTTAGAAGAGGACATTGATTTTTGAAAGATTGAGAAACATAAATGAACACAGGTCAGCAAGAATGATTTAGAGGAAACAAAGACTTTTAATTAAAAAAAATTTAACTCAATATAATGTTAAAATGTTTTCCAAGTCTTGCCAGATGAAGCTATATAAACATGGAGTTCAGTGTTTCATTTTAACAGTTGAGCTTCTTTGAATGCAATTTTCAGAATAAAACTATAAAAAATGTTTTGTACAAAAAAAGTGAAAGAGGGACTGGGAAATTACATATGTATATGCAAAACGATATTCCTACATTTGGTCAGAAAGAAACTACCTTGGATTCACCAGCAGCTTTTTCACCCACCTATGTCACCTAGATGAATTTACCTGTATATATGTAGAGAAGACACCCAGTTTTGTTCTTGGAGATATTCTAAAAATTAAATTCAGATTTATCTTTTTAATTCACAAACTATCTGGGTATAATGTCTGTCATATTTGTCATTGAGAAACCATTTACTGGGCCAAAAGGAATTACATGATTATTATTATATCTTAAAATGCTCCTTCATTGAAATCACACCCCTCGAAACCATCCTCTTGCTAGGGTATGACATGACAGTTTTTTTCCCTAAGTGGCATTTCCTGTGCCTTAAAATCTTCATTAAGTGTCTGAACTTGAATCAGTTCATGTAAGTCAGTATTTTCCACAGTAAATTTTTTGTAACATTAACTTGGTGAGACAGAGTCTCCCTGTCAGGGGAAGGTCATGTAAAAAGGATTCTG